GAGGGATATTAAATTGGAAACTTTCAATGTGCCAAATTTGGCGAGATAATCTGCAGCTTTTTGGTGAGCAAAAAAAGACAACAAAAAACGTCAACAGCTGAGAGAAAAAAACTAGACGAAAACTTTAAAATTTTATCTGTTTTTCCTTATGTAGTGAATGACTTTCCTTGTATCCCTTAAATATCCGTTCGGTTTGTATCATAATTCTTCTCATTTTTTTTACACCTTGTTTATATACTCGTTGCTACAGTCTTTCGAGAGAATTATCTACTCTCACTTGGTTTTATCCAATAATTATCAACAAGCGGTCAGACGTGAGGCGGTTTCCTATAATCATGTATGTATAAGTGATAAATTGTTAAAACTTTATTTCAAATTGCAAACCTTAAATGTTAACAGTCTTTGATGATGAAAACTTACCTAAAATAAGTAAAGAAATAATCAGGGATGTGTCCATGCTGATTCTAAAAAACATATCCATTAACCAAGGCGTGCCTATATATCGACCGTGGAATCCGCAGATAGATTATTATTGTATCTATCTATTAATACGTATTAGACAAGTATAGTTTTGATTTGAATACATTAAATGCCATAATTTATTTGCAGTAGTTGACAGTGTTTCAGTAAGGTAACGGTTAGTTTACACAAAAACTTGGAGACTAAGAAATGTAAATATTGAATATCAAAATGTTACTAAATATTACTAAAATATACGATCTTTGTCATAAAGTGTATCTGCATATTTGCAAGCGAGACAGTTGTCACGTGTCTGATAAATAAAGGCAACAATAGTATACCGCTGTTCAAAAGTCATAAATCGATTAAGAGAAAACAAATCCGGGTTACAAACTAAAACTGAGGAAAAGATACGAAAGTACATAGAATGTGTTGTATCATTTTGTTAACTTTATCCCGGAATGACGTTATATTACTAAACAAAATATAGTTTTGTAGAATCGTGCATTTTGTCAATTTTTAACCTTTCCAATAATTAAGCACGATAAGCACGATATTGCGTCTCAATCGGTAACGACATAATTTGACGTTTTCAACCGATATAGATACTTCTAAATGATTGAATAAGGTAATATGATATGAAATGTAATGAAATGAAATTATTAGTTCCGAAAAAAAGGAAGAAGCCACAAATTTTGAGCAGTGAGGACTTGGTTACCATTGAGTCATGCATAAAAAGTTAAACACGATCAAATAATCAACACGTCACAGATGTCAATGGCTGGTAAACTAAATTTTGAAAGATAATAATTGTGGAAAAATATACGTGTACCAATTTAATATGATTACAGACTTATATGATATCAAAATGCAACTCTTCGCGTTCAACAATTCAAATTCCGCACTTATTAAAAAAATGAATTTTAAATAGTTTTCCCTTATGGTATGTGCCCTGAAAAGATTTCTATGCTCATAGCCTGTTGCGTCTGACACGCATTGATGCAATAACGTGCATGTCTTGAATGTAGCAATGTTGGAATATTTCAAAGTGCGCTATATGGTTTCTAACTTGGCGCAACTTTTATCCTAAAAAGAAGTGTATATTGTAATTACTTTGTGTTTTGTTGGGTTTTTAAAAATAGGTTTAATTTGAAATATCAGTATAAATATAATTTTATGTATAAAAGGAAAAGGATAATCTTATTACCGGACAGACTTTACTTGTTTAAGCAACAAGACGGGTACGAGATGTGGGGCAGGAATTGCCTACCCTTTCGGAGCACCTGAGTTTACCCTTGGTTTAATAGTGTGGCTGGTGTTGCTCAGTCGCTTAATTTCTATCTGATGTTTTGTTACTGTTGTTTGTCCATTCGTCTTATTTTTTGCCATGATATTGTCTGTTTTTATTGAAGTTTTAAAATATTATAATCTGATTCAAACAAATGAGAAAATGATCTTAACTACAGACAAGGAAATATCAAAACCGATTATTATTGGGATATCTTTTTCCTCGTATGTGGGTTATATACTTTCATCTAACAGTCATTGCTTCAGTACTTGCCAAGAGGATTTAATATAACATTTTGATCAATTGTCCATTAACTTTTGTCAGTGATAAAAAGATTTAAATTTCCTCCAAAAAACATAAGTGGCCTTGGACGGTTTTGATCATTCTTTAAAGGTCCTGTTTAAAACGCAGCAAATTAAGAACATTGTTGTTTCATTTTGGTTTACTGTCGCTTCTAGTGGACAGCTAGTTCTAAGGATATCATCATACAAGTACATATAGCTAGTTCTTCGTCATTGCTCGTAGACTATTAGTTCTTGTGATATCACAAAGGACGTAGTAAGTGCTTCGATACTGCTTGGTGTACTACTCTTTGCGAGGATATCATCCTCCAAGTACATTTACTTAGTGCTTTGACACTGTTGATAATTAGTCCCGATGATATCACACAGGAAGTAGTAAGTGCTTCAATACGGTTGATCGAGTATTAATCTCGAGGTTATATCATCACTGAGGAACATTGTAGTTGTTACTTCGATGCTGTTGATGGAGTATTAGTCCCGAGAATATCATCACTGAGGTACATTGTAGTAAGTACTCCGGTGCTGCTGATAGAGTATTAGTCTGGAGGATATAATCATTGAGGAACATTGTAGTAATTACTTCAATACTGTTGATGGAGTATTAGTCCCGAGAATATCATCCCGGAGGTACACTGTAGTAAGTACTCCGATGCTGCTGATAGAGTGTTTGTCCCGAGAATATCATCCTGGAGGTACATTGTTATAAGTGCTCAAATGCTGCTGATAGAGTATTAGTCTCGAGGATATCATCATTTAGGAACATTGTAGTAATTGCTTCGATGCTGCTGATAGAGTATTAGTCTCTAGGATATCATCATTGAGGAACATTGTTATAATTGCTTCGATGCTGCTAATGGACTTCTTGTCCCATGGATATCACCATGAATGTAAAAACCGCTTCGATGATGTTGGGGGACTACTAGACACCTTGCAGGTAGTATCAAGTGCTTCGATACGACTAATCATGGACTACTTGTCCCGTGGTTATTATCCACCGAATATATTTAGTGCTTAGACATTTATTTTGATTTACCGCATTTCAAGTTGATATTTATTTATTTTTTACATTTTACCAAGCCTGTGGTCCTTTCCTACTTCTTCACCCTCTAAATTGAGCCATCGGTCTCATTTACTTCTATACTGAGCATGACCACTGCTAATAAACTGTTAGTCTTAGGAATATTTTCCAACACGAAATGAGTGCTTCGGAAATGGTGATGCTTGTTTACATATTTTAACTATTCATTTGTAAAATTGTGTTATTATTAGCATATGCAAAGTCCAAGTTGTGAAATTTGTATGCCTTTGTAACTTTACGTTTTGAACAATCCATGTTAGGCTATATGTGAATACCTTTGACGTTATTTTGAAGTATTGAGCGTATACACTTTATATTAAGTATACAAAAGTAATATATAGTTTTTAGTGTTGCCATTTCTTATATAAAAGTAAGAAGTTGTGGTATGATTGCCATTGAGACAACTCTCAAGCAGAGACCAAATGAAATAGAAGTTAATAACTATAAATCATCGTACGGCCTTCAACAATGAGAAAACCCATACCGCATAGTAAGCTTTTAAAGACCCGATATGACAAATGTTAAACTATTCAAACGAGAAACAACCTGATTTATGTACAAAACGATGAACGAAAAACAAATATGATAAACAGCAACAAACGACAACCACTGAATTACAGGCTCTTGACTTGGTCCGTATGATGACCTATAGCTGTTATCTTCTATGTCATTTGGTTCTCTGATGGAGAGTTGTCTCATTGGCAATCATACCACATATTCTCGTTTTTATGTGTTGGATCTATAAAATAGAATTGAGAATGGAAATGGAGAATGTGTCAAAGAGACAACAACCCGACCATAGAGCAGACAACAGCCGAAGTCCACCAATGGGTCTTCAATGCAGCGAGAAACTCCCGCACCCGGAGGCGTCCTTCAGCTGGCCCCTAAACAAATATGTATACTAGTTCAGTGATAATGGACGTCATACTAAAATCCAAATTATACACAGGAAACTAAAATTAAAAATGATACAAGACTAACAAAGGCCAGAGGCTCCTGACTTGGGACAGGCGCAAAAATGCGGCGGGTTAATCATGTTTTTTGAAATCTCAACCCTCCCCCTATACCTTTAGCCAGTGTAGAAAAAACAAACGCACAACAGTACGCACAGTAAAACTCAGTATAAGAGAAGTCCGAGTCCGATTTCAGAATAGGAAACAAAAGAAAATAAACAAAATGACAATAATACATAAATAACAACAGACTACTAGCAGTAACTGACATGCCAGCTCCAGACCTCAATTAAACTGATTGAAAGATTATGTCTTCATCATATGAATATCAGGCACAATCCCTCCAGTTAGGGGTTTAGTATTATACCATCATAAAATGTATGAGAAGAACATAACCCGTGTCATGCCAACAACTGGTTTTAGAATAAATGTGTTTAATTCCGATGCAAAGATCCTATCAGTGAATCAATATTAAAGCCAAAATATGCAATCTTTAATGACCTGACAACAGTATCGTAACTATATCCCTTCTTAATAAGTCTGTTTAAAGGTTTTGTTAGCTTTTGAGGTGGATCTATACCTATATATCCTCTTCGTTCCCAGTGGGACATAAGGCGATGATGTTGGATCTATATCAGAGTCAAAGTACCCCTAAAAAGTTGAGATGCCGAGACACTGATATAACAACCAACCAATTCATGAAGGCGCCCGTAGAACTTGGGAAGAGACCAAGTCAGTCGTTCTTTTTTCTAACCTTGCTGATCGATTTATCTGTTCATAATTCGAGTGTCTGACTCATCAGAGTATACGACTTTCAGTGAAATATCTAGAAGGTGACCTTTTTACCTTGAAATACCTTCTAGTTTTGCAAAGATTACAACTTAAATAATGAAATTGATAAAACAAAAATTGTAAACAAAATAATTTGATGATTTTATGTGATCTTTTTAAATTTGTCTTATATTTGCATAACACGTGACTACAAAATATCACTAAATGAGCAATACACTCTACTTAAAACTTTTTTTCTATGATGATACTAGTTCTTAATGATAGTTCATTGTTTATGAGCATGTTCTTGATACCATAGAACATTTCTTCTCGTTATCATCCCAAACTGTAGGCGCTGGACAGGTAGTGATGAAAATACCATCAGGTGCGCATGTCACAAACTGATTACAAGCGGTACAGGCTGTAAAGTCACCTTCTCCTGGACAAGCTGATAGTTGGTCAATACATTTTCCTACAAAACAAATAAATCGTTTGAATATTTTGTATTCAAAGATTAAATTAATTTGTTGAAAATTAGATCAATAGTGTTAATGATACATTCTTAGTATCCAAAAGTTTTTTAGGTAAGGTTCATCCTAGATTAAGAAAGGCAAATATCACACCAGTTAGAGAAATTTAATTATAACTCGGGGTATATATAATAACAGACAAGAAATTATGTGCAAATACGTCGGCAGATGCACAAAATGTGATAAATTAGAGGCAACTGTAGTTTACCGCTGTTCAAATCTCGACAATGTATTTAGAATATATAAATCAAGATAAAGTCGTATGAAACAGAGAAAAACATTAATAGATGTAGAACTTTTTTTAATTTTCAAGATCAGCAACCATTATAAAGAACAAATTAAAATAAATAACAATGTACACCATTCAGTAATTCTAACATCATATTGTTTGTGCCTTTCCAATTCGTTGTTCATTAAACATAAAATAAAACAATCAAACACAATATCAAAGTTTCTGTTCAAAATAGTATGCCCATGTTCAGTTACCTGTGAATACTGGTGGTCTTGGACTTACATTGGTCCCAGTACCGGTTTGTCCGTCACCAGCTGTAATTTTGAGAGAAAAGACATAAGTATATGGTTGTGTGGTTTAACCAAAGAATAACTTACTATTTGATGTATTTTGTGGATGTTGAGGGAGAAAGACAAAAATTATCTTTGCTAATTTTCGCAACTTATTCCGAGACATTGACCGGAAAGTAAAATAACACATCCGAATGCCCTTTATTATTCAGTGTGAACGTGATTTCTTTCAACGCATTATGTATATAGTTTTCAGTGATTTTTGTGTAACAGCTAAATCTTTCTCATCACAGTTATCGCTTACAATAATACAGAGTCTTACTTTCTTTAAAAGTGATTATAGAATACCAACATATTTTAATGCATACGAAGTGAGAAAACTGTTTTTCTTAACTTAAGGTGGTACATAACACTACAGGGAGATAACCTCTGTAAAAATCAGCTGAACGTTTTAATCACGTTCTTTTGTTAAGGAAATATTACGCTTCTCAATGATCAAAATTAGTGTCAAACTGCTATGTATCCAATGAAATTTTTCCGATAAAGTGTGTGGTTCAAGTTTTTTTGAAATTTTTATATTTTTGTCAAAGGGTCAAAGTAAATATTGTCCCAAAATTTTATGAAAATTAAACGAGCCAAATTATTTTTTTCTTGAATTATTTAGGTTATTTTTCTCTATTTTTTAGATTTTGTGCCCATTATTTTCTATTCTTTATACTTTAGCACCCCATTATTCTGTACTCTTTATTTCTGGTCCATTTTTCTCTATTATTTATTATTTTGGCCCCTTATTCTGCACTTTTTGTCCAGTATACTCTATTCCATAAAACCCATCCAGACCCTCATTACTAAACAGGGAACTTCAGTTTATAATACTTTGAATAGTTTTTCGTATTCACATTCCAAATTACTGTTGTTAAGATAATTAGCTTTGGGAAGCATACATTTTTAAAAGTTATTTAAATAGTATATATACGAGATCCAAAATGATTTAAACAAATTGCTGAGTTGTTAACATTTTACAGATGTGATTTGGATATTATATTTATGTCCGTTTTGGTCATACAGCTCTTCGGTACTTATACATCATTGGCTTTCAAATATTTGGCTTTTCACTTTCCTGATGAATGTACAACAAAAAAAGCGCTACCAACGCATAAAGTTTATACAGTATTGTTTTTATTTTTTTTTATCATCTACATATTCAGACATTAGATATAATGTACATATTGATAAGAAAATAAAACCCCACTTTTTCAAACAGAATACGGATGTGTTGAAATTAACTAGTGATAATAATTGAACGTATCTTAAAAAAAATAAAATAAACACTGCGCACTTGAATTTACGACTTTTGAGCAAAATTGTGTCAACTGTTTTTCTAAGACGTACGAGATTTGATAGCCGCGTTGGCATATTCTCTACTTTTTTTAACAACAGTTCATAACAAAAACTGCTTAGTAGTTTATGTATGTTAGTTTGAATATGAAACCTTTCTATCAAATCAACAGTTAAAACAAAAAATTAATAACTATATCATAGCGCCTCCTATTCGTGGATTAATAATACATTGAGTTTTACTGTGCGTATTGCTATGTGTTTCTGTATTCTATATTGGCTAGAGGTATAGGGGGAGGGTTGAGATCTCACAAAACATGTTTAACCTATAATGGTTTAATTTTATAAGTTTTGACTTTGATGGAGAGTTTTGTCATTGGCACTCATACCACATCTTCTTATATCTATTAACCCCGCCGCATTTTTGCGCCTGTCCCAGGTCAGGAGCCTCTGGCCTTTGTTAGTCTTGTATGTTTTTTAATTTTAGTTCATTTCTATGTTTTGGAGTTTAGTGTGAAGTCCATTTTTACTGAACTAGTATACAATTTTATTTAGGGGCCAGCTGAGGACCACCTCCGGGTGCGGGATTTTCTCGCTGCGTTGTCTGCTCTTTGGTCGGGTTGTTGTCTCTTTGACATATTCCCCATTTCCATTCTCAATTTTATTACACATAAGATTGTCATTATTAAAGAGAAACGCCAACTTACACACGCAGTCTTGGAACCTATCACCATCAGACCATATGCTTGTTGTGGTGCATTTTAATGAGAGTTGGCTATTTGCTGGTAAACCTTGGAAACTGAAGCCAGTGTCACATTTTGCCGTACAAGTCCTGTAAAGATAATATCTCGAATGCAGTTTACATCTTAAATCTTAAACCTGTAATACTTCATCATTCATTTAATTACAAATGGCCATATAATGTGATTTAAAAGTAAGTAAAGCAAATATAGACATACATATAATAAGCCATAACTATGATGTCTGCCATATTTGTTTTTCGTTTATTCATTGTTTTTCAGGCCGTTGGTTTTCTCTTTGAATTGTTTACCATTTTTTCATGACTTGGACTTATATAGCTTACTATACTATATGGTATGTTCTACAATACAACTGTTAAAATAAAGGGCAAATATAAATTTGATTATTTAGCATTCTTTATGAAGTTACTGTTATTTACATCGCACTTACAAATCTGTAGCACTATACGCACAGGACACGGTTCCGTGAGCCGGAGCTGCTACTGGCCTGCAATTTTTCACAAGAAAAGCATCTGTAAAAGTACAAAAAAGCAGTGTATATCAACATTTGAGAATATAATGCCTTGTAGTCATCTATAACGCCACAGACAAGTTGTCATTGCTTTACATTACATTATACAATTTAGCATTTTCGAATTAAATATCGTTTGCAGCTCGACTATAGAGTTTCTATAAATATCTGTCATTTATATATTGCATAGACACTAAATATTTCATACAGTCTCCTGGAATTCCTAAGACCACAAGAATAACCGGCTACCGCAAGACAAAAGTCCCGACTAGGAACAACCATTTCCAGCGATAAGGAAAAAACAATATCCTGTTGGTTTTGTGCGATCTTTCATCATAAATAGCAAAGTTGTAGTATGTTCTGTCATTTTTTTGTGCCAACAGCAACAGTTCTGAACAACTCTGCAAATAGTATCCGACAAACGACATTTAAACGAATCACGTAGTTGGTTAACAATTGCACTTACTTAGATTGTTTAGTCCACCAGTAACATCAAATAATAATGAATTGGTACTGACAATCAAAATACAAATAACTGAAAGTACAAAATATAAATGATCTATTTATACATTGAAACATATGCGAGTTCTACCCCAGGAATATATAACCCTAGCTGTATTTGGCAAATTCTTTCCTAATTTGGGGTACTTAATGCTCTTCAACTTCATTTTTTATTTGGACTTTATTTTTTTTTTATTCCAGCGTCACTGATGAGTCTTTTGTAGACAATACGCGCGTCTAGAGTACACAATTTTATAGGCCTGGTATCTATGATGAGTTTATTTGCACATATCTCGGTGATGAAATACTCTTGTTTTTAGTTTCACTCACAATGACTAATTCCAACGCCCATAAACCTGTTAAGGAACATACAAATGTAGTGACATGTAATGAAGTCATTGGCTGACCAGGCCGATCGAGTCAAAAATGTGTCTGGGTGGTGTGACATGTCTTCCGGTAGAGTATTGTCTTATGAACTACCGCGTAAAAATAAATCCGGCATACATGTAATATATGCTGCTGGACGTAAATCATTTTATTAATCTATCTAACTTGTTTTGTATTGCCTTAAATTTTGACCTGGGGCAACACCAAAGATGCAGTTTTTATCGAAATGCATTTTTTTTTACCAAAATAGAAAACGAAGAGTGTTATTCATAACTAAAAAAGCTCAAACCGGTATCTGTTATATTTTTCTTAACATATCATGATATAACCTGTGATCTAAACATTACATTTTGATAGTTTTGTTCTATGTTCTAATGCTGCAGTGCCATAAGAAAATTACAAGAGCATTCAATGGAATTACTGTAAAAGAGTCACAACTAGGCTAATATATTCATATTTGTTAAATGGATGTTTTGAAACATGAACAATTGCTCGGCTTGACTAGATTGGTTGATTGATTGGTGTTAAACGCCACTTTCAACACCATTGTGCTATTTCGTATTGGTCAGTGAAGCCGGAGTGCCCGGAGAGAACCACTGACCTTCGGTAGGAAAACTAGCAATCCTAGTCAATTAAGATTGGAGTCGAGTGCACCTGCCACGTGTAGGATTCGAACTCACAACATCAGTGTTGATAGGCTAGTGATACAGTAGTTCGACTACTTAGACCACTTGACCACCAAGCCCAGGGCTTGACTAGAAAGGGACACCCTAATATCATTCAATATAAATATATGGAGATGTGGTTTGATAACCAATTCTACAATTATCCACCAGAGACCAATGGACAAGGGTGTAAACACATTTAGGTGACCGTACGGTAAGTCAACTAATAACTTACAGGTCAAACAATCAGACTACTTTCTGTCCTTATCTTTACTAGAGCCCATATATCATGACCTGTCCGTTTTAACTTATATATGGGTCAACCTCACAATAAGTAATAGCTTAATCATGATAAGGGTCCATTATTTCAATTGAAGATTATCAAAGAAAAAAAGGCGTAAAATAGACCTTTACTCATTTACAGACATATGATACTAGTATACAGACATGTATAGCATGATTTACTATTAAGAATTTTAAGTACGAGTATATTTGTTATTGAGGCAGCAATCATAAGACATTGAAATCTGAATAAATCTAAATATTTATCTAATTCTATCTTACTATCTACAAAAAGATTTTGTGTGATTCCGTATCACCGTGTATGATCCTTTCAGACCACATCAATTCACTCCGGGTTTTTTTCTTCGCGTTCTTGTTGCGCAATCTTAAGTTTCCGAATGTTATTTGCCACGTTTTTTTTTTCACTTTTTTTTTATCTTTTTCATTTCGTCATGGTGTTGACTGTCTTTCTCTGATGTGTGGTTTTGAATTGCCTCATGTTATTTTTCTTTTTTTTTTACATAGGACAAAAGAGATTATAAGGTATACTCAAAATCCTGTCGTAGGAATATTTACTAATGATTGAAGTTTATTACCATTTTGATGTGAAATTTTTGTGAAAATCAATTAATGCATTTTTTAAATCTTTTGTTATATTTATTCTAGTGTACACTTTCGTATATTGTTTAGAAAAGAAAATAAAACAAAAAGACATGCACAGTACCGTGATAGTTTCTTGTAGCAAATTTATGTTTAAACGTTTTGTAATATACCATACAAACACAGGTCAGGGGGAGGGTTGGTGCCTTCAAACGAGGTTTACCTGCCATATTCTGTATGGGCCTATCCCAAGTCAGGAGCCTGTAATTCAGTGGTTGTCGTTTGTTGCTGTGTAGCATATTTGTTTTTCGTTCATTATTTTGTACATAAATTAGGACGTTAGTTTTCTCTTTTGAATTGGTTTACATTTGTCATTTCGGGGCCTTTTATAGCTGACTATGCGGTATGGACTTTGCTCATTGTTTAAGGCCGTACGGTGACCTATAGTTGTTAATTTCTGTGTCGTTTGTTCTCTTGTGGAGAGTTGTCTCATTGACAATCACACCACATCTTAGTTTTATACAATCAAATTATTCATACAGCAAAACAGAAGAAAAGAACCAAACTCACTTCCCAAAAGATTCTGTCGCTATAAAACATAAGTTTAAATAACAATAACGTATCCTTTATATCAAGAACCAAACAGGGCTTTTACAAATATATATTGTGTTTTTTATATACGTTTACATCTATAGTGTATACCTTTTTAAAATGAAATACATGCATGTCTATGGAAATATTAGCTACGTATATTTATTCCGTTAACGAGGTACGGTTACAGTTTCAAGTTGCATGCATAATTTCTGAAAAATCGTTGAAATCGCCTTTTTCGGTGTGAGCCAAGGCTCCATGTTGAAGACCGTACTTTGACCTATAATGGTTTACTTTTATAAATTTTGACTTGGATGGAGAGTTGTCTCATTGGCACTCATACCACATCTTCTTATATCTTTTTACCTAACGCACTAGCTTATTTGTCATCATTTTTATATGAGAGAAAGCAATGCAGAACAACATAAATCGGCCAGAAAATGAACTGAATTTAACTAATAATCAGTGAAAAAAATCGTAATTATTTATGATATTTTTGCAGTAGACTTACTTGGAACTATTAGAGTATTCATCGTGTCGCTGTCGTTAGGATACAGTCGTCTAGTGTGTGAAGTTATCTCGACACGTTTCTTATCACAAGTTCATATAGTATAAACTATAGAGTACACGATAAGACACAAGTATTATGTAACATTGTCCATTTCTTTTCTGCAGGTCACATTAATTCTCTATTACCATGATTATAAAGCTAAATATTTATAATTCGGTTTCCATGTATAGATAAGGACTCTTACAGTGTCATTGTGATCATTATGGACGAATTTAGAACGACATAGGTCAGTAGATGAATCAAAGAGACTCGGAACAAAATGTAATTTAAAATAAAAATCTTTTCATTTCATCTCATTATACCATAATAAGACGTTCTGAAACTCGGTAAGAAATGTCATGCGTTCGACTGTGCCCACGTGATAGTCACTGTAACAAATAGACAAAATGGTTATGCTCGGTTTAAATAACTTAAAGTCAGTCTATGAAAGGAGAAGGTAGGATACGGCCACATATTTACCCACACTTAAATGTCATTAATCTATTAAATGATTGCCATACAATATAGTTTGTGAGGATGATGCTGGATGGCTGCTTAACGTCCAGCGGCAAATTAAGTGCATATTCAACCCTGCTTTGTACTAGACCGACACGCTACCCGGACTCATTATTCTGAGTTGCGAGCCGACCAGTCTTTGCTATTACTCCTTGGTGTTGTGTGCTAAGGGGAACAGCAAATACAAATTTTAAAGTCTTTGATTTTACCCTGCCGGGGTTCAAACCCACGACCTCTTGTAACTTGAGGTGAACGCGCAACCACGAATCCTTTTATATCCTTTTATCAATTATGTTTTTTTTTTAATCAAACAGATATGTTGTTTATTTACTTCTTTCTAGATTGTTTGTTTATTTCTTTTTCTTAGAAAAATATGTCCAATTCCGTCTGTACCTGTTTCATTCATAATAGGTATCGAAAAGTGTAGAATGTGAAACGTAGTTTAATTTAAACATTAAAGAACACAAAAATATATTTCAAAAGATTTCTCACATCTTTTCAATTGATCCTTAAAATTAAAGAACTTCACATATGATATTAATGTTTTTGTTGTTGATGAAATCTTGTTGGATTCACGCTGTTTTATCATATTCGGACTGCGATGTGAAATACCTCATGTCTCTTTTTCTATATTGGAATAAAAAGAATCATTAGAATTAAATTGTAAGAATTTTGTTTCTGACTCTGTTCACGGTTTTAATTATATCTTAATTCATTTTTTGCCATAATTTATTATTTTACATTTATTCTCAGTTATTGTATGTATAGCTAGACGTGGGAGGGTTAAACACTTAAGATATTGTAATGACATAATATTTGTCCATTGTTAAAGACCATATATATAGATTGAACATTAGAAGTAATAGTTTGGTGTGTCGATTAATTGGGTTGATGTCTTAATTATTTATGTATAATACTTCACATCTCCTTTATAGACATCAAGTGAACATATGTTAACATGCATAAATGATTCTTTTATCGTCTGAGCTTGGTTTTCTTCTTATTATTATTTTCCCCTTTGGATAATTTTTCGTCTTATGATCTTCACATTCTACTATTTTAGTAGAGATAGCTAGACATCGTCTAACCCAGTCCAAACCCTCCTCTAGATTACCCGTGTTAATTCAATAACTGATTTGGTTATCTCCGTTTTTCGATTTATCTGTTGCCTTTAGATTATCTAATTAAGTAACAATATTTATAACCTAACTAAAAAGCATACGCGGTGTGTTCCTATGTTTTCATATCTAATCAAATGAACATTCGCGTTTTGGACGTAAATGCACAGTGCATGTAGTTTGCTGAAAAAACATGGATCATCTGGCTATCTTTAAATATGGATATTGTGGCAAAAAGTGGATTAGATTCGAACAGATGTTTATGTAGAAAAGCAGGGCAAATACAAATAACGAACAACTGTACATTGCCGGCTCATCTGAATGTTCTACAAAGAAATTGTCCATTAGATTGACAAAAATTCTGTCTTCAGAAATACTACGAAACTGTTTACTCGCGTAGTGGTATTAACCATATGTGGATTCTAAAAATACTCTAAAGAACTTCTTGATAATTTTAAATCTCGATCTTTCTCTGAAATCAATTCTATCAAAACTTTATAACAATCCTGTATACCACCATTCCCCATGTGAAATGGAAGAATCGTCTAAAAGGAATAATCCACACTGCTTTTCAAAATATAAAAATGGTAGCATAGTACGGTATACATGTATTGCTTTGGGATACCATACGGCATATTTTGTCAATAGTGAACAAAAAGGTAAAAAATACTACACAGAGGAACAAGTGATTAGTATGTTGGAGCATGGAAGTAATATTTAAAAGGAATAACAACGACTAATTAGCATGTACTAACAGCCTGCAGAGCTCTGTACTAAAGTCATATGATTTTATCCAATTATAGTCTCAGCGGCAAGACCGCTTTGGTTACTATCTGTGATACCGCGGTTGTAAAATGGCATCTGGAATTTCTTATCAGTCACGTGATTTTATCGAGTCCGGTAATTATAAAGCACCTGTGTGAAATCCGAGGTTTATTAATAAGAAGGTGGCGCTGTATCATATAAAACCTCTACCTTCAGAAAGAAGTCGTATGATGTAAAAAACTTGAAAAACGGACGAGAATTGTTCAACCTACAACAGTTTAGCTTGGAAAATTGTATTTAATTTAGCATATTTTTGCTTTTTACCGTTTGTTTTAAACTGTTCTAAAAGTATTTTTCCGGTTAAAAGCGGATCCCGAGTAAAACAGTTAAATACCGATGAATCGATCAGGTTTCACATGATGTTGAACAAAATAATGTAGACAGATGTAGACATAGAATATTTTACTGTTGAAATGTGCCAAGTTTATCGAGATTTATAAAAATATTTACTTTCAAGTAATTGATTACGTTATTGAAACTGGACAATGAAAATCGGGATCAAAAGTTCGTAAACATGTTAAATTTATATCTATTTTAAAAAAAGTGTTTACAATTGAATACTAATATTAATGTAGCACGTTACAGCAAAAAGAAAATCAACCATACAAAACGAGCTTGACGCTATCGGTCTAACCGCAAATTTATTTTATATGAATTTGTTTATGTACAAATTAAAGAATAGAAACGTTTAAAATTGTGAATATTTAATTTGCCTGGTATACACGGAAGACTTGGATTATTCGTATTTAATAAAAGGGGGTCGAAACATATTTTTTGTACAATCATCTTCTTAACTTTCAGAAATGTCTTCTTAATTAACTGCATGGTTTTAAGTATTGAAAATGATCCACCCGTTTTCTTAAATTCAATATGTGATAACTGTCGGCCTAAACTATTAAGATCGAAAAAGACATAAATAGGAAAAATAGACTAAAATCAACATTGAATGACTGACTCTATTCGGTAGCGTACAGCAGCGGAATGTAACGAGTGAACTATTCGGGTTACTTCGTACGTACATACGACAACAACTGGTCTATTCGTAAATTTCCGGGAACACGAAAATGACCGAAAAGTGTCAGTGATTTGATCTATCACATGCCGAGAGTCAATTACCATGCCATATATTAAACCAATTAACGAGTTATCGAAAGATGGGCGGTAACGCAGATGAAACCTTTGAAGTGACGACGTTGTTATTCCTTTCAATATTACTTCCATGGTTGGAGTTTCTTATTGACAACTTATTTGTTGAATTTGGAGGTAGACTTTTTCAAAAAAAAATTCGGCATTCCTATGGGAACGAACTGTGCACCTCTCCTTGCCGACCTCTTCTTATTTTCATATGAGTCGGAGTTCCTTCAGACGCCTGTCAAAACAAGAAGATCAAAGAAGCAAGATCATTTAATTTCACATTCAGATATATTGATGATGTTCTTTCCATTAACAATCCACACTTTTCTGATTGGGATCCATTAATAGATCCTCCAGATTTCGAAATTAAAGAAACAAGTCTCATTTTTAGACTTATACCTCGAATTTGACATAAGCGGTCATCTCAGTACCAGACTCTATGACTAACGAGACGATTTTAATTTTGAAATTATACATTTCCCCCACCTTAGCAGCAATATACCAACTTCACCTGCATATGGGCTATACATTTCCTAAATCATTCGGCATCCAAGAGCTTGCAGCTGTCACTCAAACTTTATAAAACGTAACCAGTATCTGAGCAGATAGTCGATGAGCCAAAGTTATGTCAAAGAACGTCTGGTCCTTTTTCTAAAAAAGTTTATTGGAAGATACCAAGACCTTGTTGATAAATATTCCGTATCAACTTCACAAATGATACATGACGGTCTTGAAGTATAGATTCTAGGTACATAAGTCAGAAGAGCATTAGTTAAAGAACAAAATAAGCTAAAAATATTGATAGAATATAGAACTCCTGTTTGAGATATTTGATTTTTTTTCAAACGGCGGGAAAAGGCTGACTCGGACTTTTACCTTATATTTAGCATTTGCATTATTTGGGTCTCAAATCGTAAGAAAAAAAATCTAGAATCTGCTTAAATTTTGGTAATGACCTTTTTATGAGCTATTATAATCTTCTATGAAAAGAAAATTGGGTGATATTGGGCAAAATATTTAACCCTGTAACGTAGGAAAAAACCTAAGGAGTCCGAACATTTGACAAAATTTCATAAACAAGACCTGAGTACATCCAACACTTGGATTTTTTTCTTGGTTTCCCATTTAGATAATCATGCCCCTTGTGAGTAGATTATCAATTTGAAAACAGACTAAGATGATAACACAAACGGATTTATATAATTATCAGGTTATATCGTATATCGATTTCCTCTTTCAATATTTCGTTATTTTACCTAAATATGCAAAGAGACTATGCAACGCCATTAGTCAATGACGTCAAAAAATTTGCATGAAAGGTCCAGGAAGATATCCAAACAAAAATTATAAGTCCAATAACTGACAATAACACAAAAAAAATGAAATAAACAATAAGACAAACAACAACTACAGAGCACAACGCAGAAAGCTAAAGATTGAGTGACACGAACCCTACACAAAAAC